GAAGGGGTAGAACTGTATGGTTTTGCATTTTTAAAATAAGTCCACCATGGATCCACCCTGATTAAGGAAGGAAGAGTAAGTGTATAAGAACCCAGATTGGAAGTTTAGTGAAGAAGCAAAAGTGAGAGATGATGGCGGGTTTGTTCTGCTTCTGTGCTTACCGAGCATTCTTCAGATTTTGATTTGCCTGCTGACTTAATGAACACGTTCTAGAAATGCCAGTATAAGAATGCTACTTTATTTTACAGTTTAACTTTTCTTTTAAAATTAGTATGTTAGAATTCTGATTTTATAATCAGTTTGATGAATTTAATTACTGTGATTCTACTTGTGTTGGAAAATAACATAAAATTCAGGTTTCTGAGATCAGAAGAATGATGATCACCCTCTGGACATTGACAAATTCAACAGGATAATGATAATGGCACCTTATAAAGGCTTGTGGGACTTCTCAGCCTCCATAGTTGTGTGAGCTAATTCCTTATAATAAATTATATATGTACATATATATGTATATATATATCTCCTATTGGTTCTGTTTCTCTGGAGAACCCTGATTAATACACTGTTTTACTGTGATGGACATTTGGATATGAAGAATGCTGCTCTGGACATTCTTATATATGATTGTGGTTCAGAGGTTCCCCAGATTCTTGGAGTAGAGTCTCTAGGAGTGGATTTCCAGGTAAAAGAGTATGAATATGTTCAGTTGATTACACAGGTTAAAACCCTTCTCAAACAATCAATTTGCACACTTGCCAGTAGTGGATGTGAATTCCCATTGCTCCACATCCTTGCCAACACAAGGCATTGTCAGTTTATTTTAGCATTTCTGATTAATTGTCATAGTATCAAGATCTTAGAAGTTTTAGTTTTCATTTCTTATGAAACTTCTTTTGTTTTTTTCACATTACTTCTTCTGCATTCCTTTGCAGAAATAGAGATAATGTCCACCGCCCTCCCTTTATTTGAATGCTTTGCCTCAGGGTTAGAAGATATTTTATCAATAAATTTCTCTCACCTTTACTTTTCATTCCTCCTGTGACACCACCCCTTTATGGGATATTGACTATAAGCCTTTGTAGTGCTTAATCAATAGACACAATGGCAAGAAGACATACCGCAATATTTAGGGTTGTCCCTCCCCCTGGATTCCTGTTAACAGCTTCTTTGGATGGTTCTTTTTTCACTTAAGACATGCTTTCTCTCATCAGGACAGTAACAAAGACCAAGAAATAATCTTCATAACTAAATACACAGAACTCATGGAACTCCGTCCACATCTCCAGTGGCTCAAGTTCCAGCCAAGTACACCTGTTCCTTTAGAAATGTGTAGCCAGTACTTCTTACACAGTGATTGCCATACTTCAGCTTATCACTTTCCATGGTTCCAATGGTGTAATTTTTTGAAATGTATGGTCTGATCATTTGAAAAATCATTTTAGAGCAATTCCCAGATAAGTAATATTATTGATACAAAGAAGCAGAAAATTTCAAGATCAATAAGAGAACTTAGAAATATTTTACTATTGATTTTTTAAAATACATTTGACCTCATGTTACATGTTTATGCACTAAATAGAAATTTATATTGCCTTTTCCATTTAACATTTTGAGTACAGCCTTTCTCATGCCACTAAAAATTCTTCCTAAATATTATTTTAATTCATTATATCAATATATATCACCATATATTTAATCATTCCATTTTTATGGGAGATTTAATTTTCTCTACTATATACAATACTGTAATAATAATCTTTGTGGATAAATTTAACATTTAATATCATTTTATTGGAACTAGAAAACCTGGTCAAATGGTATAAACAATTTAAAACATTTGGTACATGATGCTGAAAGTTTTTCCCTAAGTTTTATAGCCTTGATGTTTCCCTTAGTATAAAAGTATCTGTCTCATGCCATCCTTCCCAAAATTCAATACATTAGAAATAGAAATGTATTTTGGTTTGCATTATGTACTTTTAACAATGAATATTTTCTGTTGTTAAATGTATAATGCCCTTTACCATTTACTCTATTGAGAATTATCTGTAGCACTGTACTGACGAACCCTCTCCTAAGCTGGAGTTCTGGAAGGCAGGACTATGGTGGAATAGACTGGCATAAATGTAGGCTGTATTGTCTGGAGGCAAAAGACACCTAAAAGACAGCTTTTAAGAATGAAGCTTAGGTTAAGAAGTCAGATGAAGTATAAATCTAAGAGAGGCCAGGCAAAGAATTGTGCTTTTTTGTGTGTTCTCTTGGATTACTTGTTTTGGGAGAAGCCAACTGCCATGTTGTGAGATCATGAAAAAAATCCCATGGAGAGGTCCATGTGATGAGGAACTTAGATCTCCTACCAACAGCCACATGAATGAGCCATCTTGGAAGCAGATTCTCCAGCTACAAACAAGTCTTTAGATGATGATAGCCCTGATCAATATCTCAACTGAAATCTCATGAAAGACCCTGAGTCAGAACCACCCTGCTAAGCAGTGCCTGTATTCCTGACTCACAGAAACTGGGAGATAATAAATATGAGTCGTTCTAAGCTACTAAGTTTTGGGAGTTTGTTATGCAGTAATAAATATCTATTTTACCTGCTTTACATTCCTCCATAGCACTTATTACTATCATACTATATATAATTTATTTATTTTGATTGTTGTATAACTTATCATTTGTAGAGCATAAATATATGGAGAGAGAATTCCATCTGTTTTTCCTACTGATAAATCTTCAGCATCTACAATTACAGCAATAATATTGACAGTACTAATAACATAATGAACATTTATTTGATAAACAAGATGTCTATTAGGCATCTAAGTAGTGATTTCAAGTAGGCAATTAGATACACAAATCCAGAATTACTAGAGGAAGTTATGGCTTGGATAAAGGTTTGGGAGTTCAAAGAACACTGAGAATGTTCTTGGAAATGAATGATGCCACTAGCACTATAGGTAGAAAGCAAAAGCTGTCCCAGGTCACACCTCTATAGTACTCTAACAGTTAGCAAAAAAGAGATGACCAAAAAAAAAAATAAAAGACTGAGGAAGAGCAGCCAGTGGTGAAGAAGAGAAAATTATCAATTATCAGAAAGTGACAGCAAGGAATAAAAAGAAAACAATAATTATAGAATGTCTGCTCTTTGCCAATCTAGGCACTTTAAATACTTCAACCAGTTTTCAAAAGAACTCTGTGAGGTAGGTTTTATTACTCACAGTTTGTAGGAGGAAACCACTTGGAGGCTCAGTACTTGCCCTTGCTCACATTTCCAAGAAGTAGTGGCACTAGGCGTTGAATCCAGATCAGAATATCATGTCTCTGCACTAAATCATTCCTGGGATTGGTATTTAATATCTGTCTATTCTGAATATGTGACACTGTGTTATCCTTTTAACAATCACAGCGAAATTTTTTTCAGTTACTATGATACAATCACATATAGAAAACTACCAGGCAGCTCAAGGTTACAAGCAAAACGTGAAATGTTACACCTCAAGAAATATCAGGTTTCCCAGAGGAACACTTTGAAGAGAGGAGATACTTGACTTTCTCACTTACCTTGGCACATTCTGTGACTTTACCTGCATGCTGGAGTTCACCTGAGTAAACATCATAAATTTTATTTGGTGAAGGTCATACTAAAAGTGTAGTCAAGCGTGATGTTTTTTGGATGACTAGCAAATGAAATTATTAATCATTTAATTGAAGAATTCACTTCAGAGAAACTCGTGAACAGAGCTCATGCTAATATTGTCCTGAAGGTTCTTGAGCCCATTCTTGAGCCCACCCAGATATTCCTTTTCATCATATTCCAAGACGTCAATAACAGCGAGATCGACTTTTGGTATAAAATGCTGCGATATTTTCAACGTAGCAATTTGCAACCAAACAGACTTCAAACGTCCATGCATAAGTGATTTTTCAAGTGGTGACAGAATGACTAAATATGTTAGAAATATCTCTGCAGCATTCCCAAAATTTACATGGCTAACCCTGAAGCCATTCTTGAGCCCATCCAGATATCCAGATGTAGCTTCCCAAGGAACCCAGATATGCCTCTATTTTGAAAACACTACATATATGTATAGTACATATATAAAATGGGAGAAAGTAAGTCTCTGCTTAAAAATTATATATAATACTTATATATTGTAAACATATAGTATGAATTTTATACACACACACACACACATATATATATATATATATATATAAAATGCTAAATTCCTAAATTCTATTTCTGACCTAATTTATTTCTGAAAGAGACTCCTAACAGGTTTCTGGTCACATTCCTCTCAAATTTACCAAGTGCATGGCTGCCAAAATTTGTTTTCAAAAATGCAAATATGGCTATCCACAGTATCTATTCAAAACCCCTCAACACTTCCCTTTTGACTCCAGGATAAAATTCAGGTCCCTAATGTATCGTAAACCATTCATTATGCATCCACTGCCTTGTGTTCCAGCTGCATCTCTCATTACTTTCACTCTACCTTGCACTGTATGCTCCAACAATTTCACACTATTAACAATTTTCTACTCAAACAAGCCTGTGCATTTACTCATGCTTCTTCCTCTACCTAGAGCAGCTTCTAATTATCTTCCCCTACCTGACATTTGCTTATCCTCTAAGACTCAACTCAGGCATCACACAATCCTGGAATCCTTCCTGAGCCTTCCAGAACTGGTTGCAGCAAAATACAATTTGCACATCCTTATCAATTTTAGTGATGCTGCAACTATTTATTTAGGCATTTGTATCCCTTACTAGAAGTTGACCTCCCAGAGCTCATGATAAATATATTTTTTTCTCTATATTCCCTGCCTAGTGTTAGAAATTTGGGATGTGGTTTTGGTGCTGGAATAGGAATACTTATTCTTCCTCCCTTTAGGGAGTTTCTGCCAACAGAGCTAAATATGAAAGTGGTAATACCATAATAAATAATGAAGAATAAGGTTGTTAATGTAAGGTAATTTTTTATTCTTCCAAGTGCAGGGGTTATCTGGTAAATGCTGTTGATGTGAAAGGATTAAGCCTTGAAGAATATATGGCACTCCCTTTGCTCTGTTTTTCTGAATCTGAAGAGGCCATCACTGTGGATGAGGATGGTACCTACTTTATCTACTTAGCCAATGGCAGAACACAGGGAACCAGATGACAGCTGGGCCTCCTGAGGTAAGCCTTGCCTGGGACTCTAACCAAATAGATTCAGGGAGTACCAGAGGGGAAGTAGAACTTAAGACCCTGTATTTTATATATAGTAATCCCACACTCCAATTGAATGAGTCCCAGTGAATGTCTCAGGCTTTGAACAGTTTAGTAATTCCTTGTCCCTTGTGAAGGCTCTAGAAAGCTGGTTAGACAAAGTGACCATGTTTGTTCCTTCTTGCTTTCTCTTCTATAATTCCTTATTTGTGTGCTCCCTATTAATAATACATCCTTATATTTTTATAACAATTTATAATATTCAAAGTTTCCCATACATTATATCATATAATCTTCAACAAAACTCAGTTGTTAAACATTAATATCTCTTTTTGCAGGTAGGAAATTTGAGGATGATAAATGTAAAATAATTAGCCCTGGTTATAAAGCTAATGAGCAGCAGAACCAAGAAAGTTCCCAGGTCTTCTGAATGTGAAACTATGATATATTCAACCTGGTAATGTGCAACAAAGCATGCTTGCAATGCCTATGCATGAGTGTTTCTCAACTCTAGTGACAGTAGACTAAACATGTTAGAAATACCTCTACAGTGTTCCTAAATTTCAGGTAGCTGTCCCTGGTGCCATTTTTGAGCCCCTCCAGTTATCTGGTTCCAGCCACCCCAAAAAACTATAATGCCTCTGTTTTGAAAACTCCTCATATGTATAGTACACATATAATATGGAAGAAAAAGAATGTAAGTGAAAACAAATAGTCTCTTGAGGCTCTTTATTTATGAATGCATTTAAGTCAAGAATCCCATGTGTAGCCTAGTTATTTCAACATAGATTTCAGACAAGTTCCTACTGGCCTGTGGGACTAAAAGTTTGGATCTAAAATGTTTACAGGAGAGACTGAGAATTCTTTTAAAACATCTCAGAAAAGGGAAATCTCAGTTTCCTAAGGACTGAAATTTCCCTAGGGAATCTCATCCTGAGAAAAGAGAAAGTACAAACAGGTTTAGAGTTCAAGGAGAAGGTCTTGCTACTTTTGCGGACCTTGGGATTCAACTTCAGAAGAGAAGGAAAAGTAGGATCTGGGGGTTCCTTCATGTTGTTAATCCTAACCCACCAGGGCGTGAAAGAAGCCAGAAACTTAGAACAGAAGCTCTGTCCATGAATAAAAGCTGTAGTTGAAGTGAGAATCTTCCTACACCAGTGGTGTTTCAGGGACGTGAGTTAGTAAACAAGATGTAGGATAATAAGAACCTTCCTCACTTGATAAGAACCCCCAAGTCATCTTGTCAAAGAGTTAAAAAATTCAAGCACAAACAGTTTAGAAAGTCAGTGAAATGTGTAATGTTATTTTGATATATTTTCACCAAAAATGAGTAAAAACATTTTTAACTGTCACTTAAAAGGAATTATTACATGTGGTGGGAAACATGTTTTGTGAAACACGTAATTCTGTGATATACCAGAAAAATAAGTATAAGAATAATAAGAAAAGATCTTGAATACCCTCCATCTCAGGTCTTTGATACTGAGATCTGCCTGGTCATCATTGTGACATAAAAATATGTTGAAGATCTTGAGAAACATGTAGGCCCATTAAAAACAATTGTGAACTGACAATCTTCTAGCCTAATTGTAAGACTGTGTTTCCCCTAGAATCTATGGCTTTCATCAAATATTCACCTCTTTGTTTGCCAGGGTGTGCTTTTTGCTTTTTCTCAACCTACTGATAGAGATATGTAATAATTTATAGTAAAAAATGTGTAAAATCATAAATTGGTATAAAACAAATGGAAAACATAATAGACAAGAGCTACAATTTACAGTAAATCAGCAAACTAAGAATTAGAGACAGTGGAAGAACCAACCAAATAAATAGTCATGGTTCTTTTTCTGTAGGATAAGCTATCACCTACCTATCAGGAAAAAAATAGACCAATGAAAAAAAGTATAAAAATTATAAGAGTCATAGGAATGCAGGGGAGGGAAGTTTGGGAGGGTTGTAAAGAAATGGTTACTTTAAAATTAGATGTTTTAATTAAGGCTATCTTAACCTTTCTAGAGCTCCAGTGTTCTTTGCTAAAAAATATGTGACAGGATTACATCCCATAGTGTTAATCTTGTGAGATTTTTTTCTCTTCTTTCTTAATAGAACATTGGGTGTCATTCTCCTCCAGCATACTCCAAAACAGAAATAAATATTCACTGCTCATAGGCTTACTTGCAGGGTTGTCTTTTCCCCCACAGAAACTATGTAAGGTTAGGCCTAACAGATATCAGAGAGGAGGAGAAATAGCAACTTAAGTGGGAAGAGAGGTTCATAAGAAAAATGAGGGGAACAGGAGTGGGAGGATGAAGAGGAAACTTCTATAGCAGAATTTCTTAAGTAGGGTTCTCTGGAAACCTAGGACTCCACAAGATGTCACTAGGGATTCCTTGAAAGATTGTGATCAAGTGTTCCATCTTTACAGGACCAGTTACACTGAACGGACTCACAGAACTAACAGTCCTACTGTAAACCTACCTTTGGCAGGATTCCATTTATTACCTGGTCCCTGTAGGCCCCCACTCTAACAGGGTCTGTGACGATACTTTGAGACTCCGGGTAGCAATGTCAACTCAGACCCTGCATCTGATAACCTTCACATTGTCTGGATATTACTATATCCCTGCATCAGTCACCTGAGTAAATGGCTATAGGTGTCTTTGGGGAAAACATTATAGTCTATACCTGCCATGGTTTTGCATGGTCCTTCCTCCCGGGGATTTTACTAGCTATTCAATTAAAATGTTCTGGGTCTGAAAACTGGCTCAAGTTGAGAATCTTTGCAAAAGAACATGACTTCCAGTTAAGGTGGCCTATCCACAATCTTGCATATGTATATTCATTTTCTTTTGATTGTACATATTAAGTAACACACTTGTTGACTGCTAATCTATATTACCACCAGGGATACTATATTCTATTAATCATCTCCCAAGCCTCCTTGGCAGTCCTTCTGAACTTATCAGTTATTACAGCAATTGCAGTCTTCTTGCTGCAGCCTTGGGACCCTCTCACCCCCACTATTATTAACTAGATAAGCTTGTGACCATCGACCAGGGATGGTGGTGCCCATCCATCTAGTGCATTCCTGAAGGCCTTGGTGAATGGTATATTCCCTAAAGTTTCCCACTAGAACCTGTGATAGATCTTCTGGCCTCACATAATTTTTCTGCCCCAACATGTCCACATCCCTGAGCCTTTTAATCCCTTTCAACACTGTTGGTCACACATACCTCCAGCTGACTTCCTGGAAGACAACTTTCTTGATGTAATAGACAATCAGAGGGAAATTTTCATTATAAAAAAGAAATTTTTACATTCCAAAACTTAACTGTCCTCCTGTTGTTTTGCTGTTGTTATAACTAAATAAATCAATGCAAAACAAATCGCATAGGTTAAAAGTGAATTGCATTATGATGACTCTTTTCATTGTTTCATTATTTATTATACCCTTTTAAAAATATTTTATTAATGTTTATATTTTACAAACAAGCCTGATGGTCCAGTGTGACAATTTTTGAAGACAGTATGTGAGAGGAAAGAGAGAGATTCTAGAGTTAGACCTATGAACAATTCCCATATGGTTAGTGATGAAGAATTACAATCTTCTTGGTTATTTCACTGCACCAGTGCATCAAGGGAGACAAAAAGAAGTCCTTTCACTACAAGGGAAGCTATTTATCCATGGATTTTCATGCGCTGGTAATGCAAGTTGTATTGATGCATTGCATATTATCTGTGGTAGGCAAGTTAAAATGCAGCAGTGCCTCCAGAAAACTTGGAAAGACACTTAACTACAAATCACATGTATTTGACAAGAAAAGGTGCTGATTATTTTAAACATCTATTGGAATTTCAAAACAGTGAAGCTTTTGTCAGGAAAAGGTCACATTCAGTGGAAAGTCTCAAAATCAAGTTACTGAGCAACAAAAGATATTGCTTAGAAGAAGTTACACAGTTGGTGAGAAACTAAAAATGCCAGCACATAGTGAGTAAAATAAGGTCCAGTAGGAGAAATTGAAAAGGTTCCACTCTCAAAAATATGTGTCAATACAGCGATGACATGTCACATAATATTGAATAGGTTTTGTGTAATGAACAGAAAAACAAGAGCTTTTCTATCCAGGTTGATGAGAGAAAAGGATTTCACCAATAAATACCATGCTACAGCATTTGTAAGATTGGTGAATATTGGAGGAATTCAAGAAAGATTTCACTGCTGCAATAAGTTGCCCAAGCTAACAAAGGTCAAAATACATTTAATGTTTTGTTTTCACAGTTGGAAAAAAATAAAGATTTATGTTGGAGAAATTACATTGGCATTTGCCCTGATGGTGTCCCATCAATGGTTGGCTCCATGAGAAGGTTTCTCTAATTGTTAAAAAAGAAAATGCAAACATTGTCTCAACACACTGATTTCTGCAGAGAGGTGAAGATGAAATAAATTACATTCTGCTTGATGCTGCAGAAATCAGGCTTTATTAAGCAAAAACAAGTTTACTTGCAAATGTTTTAAAAACTGTAAAAACCTGGGGAAAGAGCATGTAATTTTCCTCTAAATGCAAACATCTGTTGGCTTAGCAGAGACGAGTTCTCAGTATGATATTTGAACTAAAATATGTATTGTAGGGTTGCTAGTACTTAAAAAAAATAGTTGCTGGATTTTGCTGAGTGCTTTGAAGAAGAAGAATGCTTCAGAAACTAACCTACTTAAGAGATATTTTGCTCCACATGAACTAGTTGAACACAAGTGAAAAATTCTTGGACTTAAAAGGAAACTGAATTTTTTGGGGTAAAAGGTGGAAACTTCATGTGGTAGAAGAAAATGTTGTAATGTTTCTACTGCTGCTGGGGTTTGAAAATGTAGGAAGGGAATCAAGTTATATTGAAAAACACCTAGGAAAATTGCAGGAAAAATATGAACAGTTTTTTCCTTCCTGTAACACATACGTATGACTGAATATCGTACTTTCTCTGAACCTTCTGCTCAGCCTGATAACTTGACTTTGAGAGAAAAAAGAAGAACTTTGTGAGCTGCAGACTGATCTGATACTCAAGAGGATATTTGTTCACTCGCTTTAGACAAGTTCTAGATCTCTGTGAATAAAGAGCACCCTGCCATTCATTGGAAAGCAATGAACATCGTGCTAAAGTTTTCAGATTTTGACATGTGTGATCCAGTTTATTCATTTAGCAGTCCTCAAGAGGACAGAAATTATCTTATTTCTATTGAAAATGAAATCTGTGTGTGCTCATCTCAAGTTTCATTCAGAACTGAGAATTTGTGCAGTAAAAATGAAGCACAGATTCCACATTAAAAGATAAAAGCAGGGCTTCCCTGGTGGCGCAGTGGTTGAGAACCCCCCTGCCGATGCAGGGGACACGGGTTCGTGCCCCGGTCCGGGAAGATCCCACATGATGTGGAGCGGCTGGGCCCGTGAGCCATGGCCGCTGAGCCTGCGCATCCAGAGCCTGTTGCTCCGCAACGGGAGAGGCCACAACAGTGAGAGGCCCGCGTACCGCCAAAAAAAAAAAAAAAAAAAAAAAAAAGATAAAAGCAGTCTTTATTTCTAGTTTCCAAAATAACACTTCTATGTATATATAAGCCTATAAAAGAGAATAAGAAACCAATACATACATATATATAATTTTGCAACTGCTAGAATTAAAATAAAGCTAGGGTTAAAATTGACATAATCACATGTCACTCAGTTTTAAAAAAGAAATGCTCAAAGCCTTGCATGAAATTGTATTTAGGATATATATTTTATCATATTATCTTGTCTTATGGTTTTAGTAACTTTACTATATTCAACATTGTCAATAAATTTTCCTGTTGTAACTTGCATTACTTAACATTATCTTTATTTAAATTAAATTTACAAATCTACCTTTAGAAAATTAAATCTTATTTTGACTTAAGCCAGTTATTTAACACAGGCAAACTACAGCCCACAGGCCAAATCTGGCCTGCATGAAAACATGTTTTCACAAATAAAGTTTTTATTGAAACACAACCATGTCCATTTCTTTATGTATTATCCATGGCTGCTTTTCCTCTGAAACAGCAGAAATGAACAGTTGTACAGAAACTATAAGACTCGCTAAGGCTAAAATATTTATCATCTAGCCCTTTACAGGAAGAGGTTGTTGGTCCGTTTTTAAGAGAAGCTTACTATGTTTGCCTTATGAGTTTTTAAATCTTTGAAAAATAAAGAAAAATCTAAGCTAGGCTTAAAAATCTAGTTGGATTTTTTTTCCAAGAGGTTTGGCTATAAAGTCATTCTTGATTTAAATAGAGAAAGGCCGAATTAGCAGCTTGTATAATAGAAATTTGTGCAAAGACTTTTAAGGCTATTTAGATAAAATTTCTGAAAATCAAGTAAGAAATTTAAGAAAAGGAAGACCTGAACTTTTCTTTATCAACGCTACTGACTTGCATAGAGTTTATTTCCTGTGTGGGGAAGGGGAACTACAAAGAAATAGGCTAATAATTTAGCCAAATAAATAGATCCACAAAAAAATATCATTCTCTATTCAAAAGAACATTAGCAATTATTGTAGGATTATCGCATCTACTCACTGGTAATCCTAAGGTACCATGAACTATTGCTATAATACTTTTTTTGCAGGGATTTCCTGACACCCTACTATATTTCGATAGTCCCTCTAGGATAAGAAGATTGAGAAATGCTGCTCCAGAGGTTGTGGAAATAGAGTGTAAGGGACCCAAAGAATCAGCTGTCAGCGAGTGGGATCCCCTCCCACCATCCTCAAATCATTGATGCACAGCCTGCCCTTCAACTGTCCTGGAAATATGTAAGCTTCCCTTTTATAAGAGCGGAGATTGTGGACCCAGGAGATGGACATACACGGAAATGAAGGTAAGAAGAAAGAACCTCACCATCCCACCATAACAAAATTTGATAGAAGCACTTGAGAACGTCCCTAAAGGCAGCACCTAAGGAGGAATTCAGCTTTCCTGTTACAGAAAGAAAAGAGCATTCCCCCAACCAGGAGAGGGAATGGGGCAGATTATGAAGTATAACAGAACTGAGTCAATTCCTACCTCTTAACTGCCTGAGTGCAAGGATGAAATGAAACACAGAGATAAAGCAAGAGAGAGAGCTGAGAAGATGTAGAAAGGTAGAGTGAGGTGAGAGGGTTCCAGAGCTTCCCCCTGCAATACTTTCTGAGACTGGTCACATGAGTAAGTCATTTGCAATTAAGGGCTGAACAGCACCATATTGTATCATTATTTTCTTGGAGGGTTGGTAGGGTAAGGTGGTGACCAGAGGTTCCACAATTCCAACTCGTTAGCTGGATCTTAATGACTTAACTTCTCGGCTGATACCAGCCAAGTCCTTGTCAACAAATGCCAATTACAAATACTTACTTGCTACAGACTAACTTCATTTTGAGTCATATTTGTTTACTCTGTCCTGTTTGAGACTCTGAACAAGTTTCTCTGGAAAAATAGAAGAGGGAAAACAGTAAGAGAGAAAGAGAGAGCTGGTAAATTTTGGAAACAGATCCCAGAATTTTAATGCCAACAAGAAGGGAAGGCATGTAATTTGTAAAGTACCCACAGGGCCCTAAAACATGATTAGTCAAGCACGTAGAAAACATTTTCAAACCTTTTCTTAATTGTAACAGATGGTTGAGCAATAAATTTCTCTTTCAAGCTAAAGGATGTTCTGCAAATATATCTGGCTGGAGCCCAGGCTGGCCAGTATAGTATTGCATTGTTCAAGGAAGATGGAGTCTGTATTACTGAGCTGTTAGAATTGCTCCCATTCGCTGCCTGAGTGGAACTATTATTGAAGCTGAAGCTCTTAGTATTACAAAATTTCAGATCTAAAGGGAAAAAGCCTTCCATATTCTTCTCATTTTACAGATAAAAAACCCCAAAAACAACAAAAAAGTAAAATCTAGACAGGTTAAGTGATATTCCCCAAACCACAGAGCTAATTAATTTCAGAGCTGGAACCCAAACTTGAAACACCCGATTTTTATTCAAGTGCTATTTCCACTCACCATTATGTGTGATGCCACCACTAATAATGAACCTCAAAGAGACTAAAAACTTGTCCAAAGTCTAATAGCTAGTTTGTACAAAATTTTGTATATGTCCAAATCTTCTCACTTCAGGTTCTATGATTTCTGCACTAGATCCCATATGACAGCTTATAAAATAATTCCCAGAACTATTAGTTCTCTGCCTGGGCAGAGAAAGAAACATTGACTTACGAATTAAATTGACCTAAATTCTAATCTCAGTACTGTCACCTGCTAGCTGTGTGCACCTTAGCAATATATAGGATCTCACTAAGTATCAGAATATCGGTTAATCATCCATAAAATGGACATGTTAACACCAACATCTTAAAGCTGTTATGAGTTTTAAATAAGAATATATATAAAATACCTAGCACTGTGCCTGTCATATACCAAGTACTCAGTAGACACTAGTTGGGTCCATTTTCCTCTATGTCTACATCAAAATGTTCATATTCCTTAGGATATATGTTGCCAGTATGTCATTAATTTGAAGTGGGGAGAAGAAAATTTTCTACTCTGTACAAACCACATCATCCACCTACTTAGATCTTCAAGTCAGTGGTGGGGACTGAACTAGGAAGGGTGAACAGGAAAGTGAAAAGGGTATATCTAAAAAATGTGCACCTGGGCTTCCCTGGTGGCGCAGTGGTTGAGAGTCCGCCTGCCGATGCAGGGGACACGGGTTTGTGCCCCGGTCCGGGAGGATCCCACGTGCTGCGGAGCGGCTGGGCCCGTGAGCCATGGCCGCTGAGCCTGCGCATCTGGAGCCTGTGCTCCGCAACGGGAGAGGCCACAACAGTGAGAGGCCCGCGTACCGCAAAAAAAAAAAAATAATAAAATAAAATAAAATAAAATAATAAAAAATGTGCACCTGCTCACAAGTGAAGGGAAACAAGAGAAAATATATATAGGCTTTCAATTTTAGTGCCATCTATTTCAGCCCCTGTAATTAGTTGTAATTTATGATAAGACCTGCCCCTGGGAAGTCTTTCAAACACCAACTATACCCCAAGCCTTCTAACAGAAATTCATTTCATGTCCTCCCTCTCAGCCCACTTATACATCTAGAAGAAGTATGGATCTCTCATCCGGCAGTCAGATGTGAAAGCTTGTGGGGTGAGAAAATAGCAATAAGAAGCCATGTAGTCTGGGTCTCTCTGGCAAGGAGGTTAGGAGAAGTGGGCTCTTACTCTGGGTACCCTGAACTTGGGTGTCTTTAAGCTGTTACTGCCTTATCAAAAAGCCAGGTAACAACCTCAGAATCCTGACTCAGTCAAGTTGCCATTATTGTTCCCATTTTATGGATGAGTAACTGACCCTCTAACCCAGAGATTTACATATTGCAAGTGACAGAATCAGCTTGCAAGTGACAGAATCAGTATTGCTAGGGAATACGTTCAAGAAAAGGGAGTCCAGGCTAGGTCATCAGAGCAAGAGTTACAGAGAAAGTTCCAGGAACTAAAATCAAACGACCCATGAACAAGTGGCAACCATTGCCTGCCAAGGGGCTTTAACTTCTACAGGGCTGGTAGAGCTAGTGAACAGACATGAAGAATGTCAGCAACATTGGCCAAAAGCAAGCAAAGGGGACCCTAAGCAGAGATTCCTTCTTAGGCATTTTGAATGTGGGCCTTTGCACAGGCTGTTTACCTGGAATATTCTCATCTCTTCTTAAGTAATCTGAGATATAAATACAAATAACAATGATACTAGAGTTTTATCTTTGTTCCACGGAGGAAAAAATACTGAAGTTCTTTTAGTTAATATGCACAGAAATCATCTGGATATGTCAGATTATAATGCAAAAACTTCAGGACTTAAAACAACACAAAATGTTTTATGGTTCTTCAGGTCAGAATGCAGACGTGGGTCTATATTCAAGATGTCTACAGAGCTGCATTCCCTCTGGAGGCTCTCAGGGATAATCTGTTTCCTTACTTTTTCTAGTTGCTAGGGGCTACTAGCATTCCTTGCCTTACTGTCTCTTCTTCCATCTTCAAAGCACATCACCCTAACCTCTACTTCCATCACCACATCTCCTTTCTCTGACTTTGATGTTATTGCTTCCCTGTCATAAGGAGCCTTGTGATTACATTTTGAGATGGGGAGAGCATCCTGGATTACTCAGCTGAGTAGCTGAGTAATCCAGGATGCTCTCCCCATCTCAAAATCCTTATCGAATCACATCTGGAAAGCCCCTTTTACCCTGTAAGCTAATATATTCACAGGTTCTAGAGATTAGAACATGGACATCTTGGAGGAGCATTATTCTATCTACCAAACAATTCTTAATTTTTTTTTATTTGGAGTTTAAAAAACCTATTCCTTTGTTTTTATTTACACATCATAGCACCTTTCTTCTAATATCCCAAGTTAGAAACTTCAAAAACAGCAATGATTACTCTCTCTCTTTCCTTCCCACATCCAAACTCTAAAACATCTCAAAGATTTTCTCTCTCTATCCCATTTGTATCCTTATTTCTGACTCTTTTTACCTATTGCCTGGATTTTTTCAAAGGCATCCAAACTCATCCTCATGCCACCAGTTTCTCCCTGCTCCAACCCATTTTGCAAAGTTCTTCCAGTTATGACTTAACACACAATTGTAGGTCAGACCCTTGTTTAAAGACTCCAACAGCCACTTATCGTCTAACAGGGTAAAGTTACAGGGTAAAGTTACCCCACCTCAATTTGGCAATAAAAATCCCTTCACAGTCTTGCTGCAAACTGCTTCTCCTTCCAATTCCATTTGATCTACCTTACATACCAGCCACACAGAACTTCTATTTCCTAAAGAGGTCTGTGAGCATTTGAGAATGCTTTGACTTTACTCATTGTGTTGCTGGTGTGCCCTTAATCTCTTTCTCTAGTTAATGAGATTCAAGTCAGCCTTTTCATACAGCCACCGAGATACTACTCCAATGCACCTTAGTTTCTCTGAGAATCTTTTCTCTAAATGCTGTACGCTACCAAATTACTCATTCCCATATATGTCCACAACAATACCTAGTTCTCTTTAATATTGCATTTATGACACTGTACTTAATTAGTTTTTATTTTCATCATTGTATGCCGTTTCTCAAACTAAGAGCTCACTGAAGAAGGCAGGGACTAGTCTCATTTTTATTTCTGATCCAGTGCTTAATACAGGCCTGGATCAGAGTAGGTGCTCAATAACTTCTTTGTTCTGAGTAAAACTGGGACTCAGACTGGTTCTTTGCACAACCGTGGATATGGGACACCTGGAAATCAATTTACTAGTACTGATATGCATTTTCAGTTTTACTTGGAATAGATTATAAAAAGAAAGAAAACCATTTCTTTTACTTTTTTTCTTTTTCTTTTTGCACTGATATTTGGAGAGATAAGGCAATGCAAGACAAGGTACATCTGTTCTGATCCATCCTGAGACCTAGATCTGACCTGGATAGAAAGAGCAACAATGGGAAGAAGCTAAAGGGATCCTAAGAAGGAATATTATAAAACTTTGGGAAAGAAGTGCTAATTTAGAGGTCCTCATGGCAGAATTTCACAGAGGTAGGTGCAAAGTAATTGTCCTACACTACCGTAGTCTGTGGGATGAGAGGGTTAGGAAAAAATCTTTATTCTGACCAAGTAATAAGGGAGGACATGGCACCCAGCAAAATTCCACTCTTACAGGAAGTCCCCTCAGTCATGCTGATACAGAGGACCTTCCCTTAAGTGGCTTTTGGGCATCAGATCTTTGGCAAATAGATCAGAAGAACATGAAATAATTTATTCAGAGATCATATAAACTCCTTTTGGGGGATTCCCAGAAATAATTGTATCTACTTAGGAAGTATTAAGCAAGTTGAGGTTCTGCCACCATGAAAATTAGAGCTAAGAGTCATGGGAAACTGAGTGTTAAAGTTTATGCAACCTCATACTTACCCAAAGCTGGTGAGACCTGAGGTCATTCAGGTTAAATTAAAAATTTAATGAATGAGTGAATAATAAATGCACAGCAGAACTGAAGTCAGTGTTTGTTCACTTTTACCAAAATGAAGGTTTTATTTGTAGTACCTGGTCTATCCTTAGTAGGAAATTATGAACTTATGTTATTGAAGGTCTGTTTCAGATATGAGTTAATTATTTTAAATGTATAATTCAATGGCTGGCACATATTCTATGTTTGATTCCTGAGACTGTCGTCCTTACCTAAAATTAACTGCATCTTTTATAACGTTATACAGCAGTATTTTCATCTGTGGAGCAATAGTATCAATGAACCCCAGTTTATACATTACATAGTATAAAGGAAAGCTAGATAAGTAATGTGATTGTTTGACTAGGAGATGAAGAAGCTGTATCAAATAAAGCATGATGATCAACTTAGCCTTGCTGTTAACTGAGGGGAAAAACACAATAGTTTAGAGTTAAAAAGTAAATGGAACATTAATATAGTGTATCTATTCTGTTGTGTAACTGCCTATGAGATGCTAAGTTGAAATATTGTCTAACATTTTGCCAGTAGGGGGAAAAAATAACAGCAGATGGGCCAAGCAGAAGGCAGAGCTAAATCATTTTGTATTCTTTCAATGCAGTTTTTTTCAGTTTCATGATAAATAGGACTGTGATAGATAATCCTACATCAGAAAACGTGTATCAGATATTCTCGTAATTATATTACACATGTTTCTTTTAGGGCTACTTTTACCAGTAAGATATTAAAATTAAGATCTTTTCTGGGAGGGATGGATGAAATTAGGAATTCATGAGTATTGCAAGAATTATGTAAAGATGGTAAAAATGGAGACGCTTCTACCAAGAAACTGCACACCACGATGCCACTGCCCTGCATTTGATGTAAACCGATTTTACCCATGAAGATGTTTATTAGTTGTCATGCAACAAATCTGATCTTGTTCAATTTGTCATCAGGAGCTAAGTGGTATAACAGCAAAGGTAACAGATGTTGAGAATGACAAGCCAAATTATTAGAAACAGCCAATAATTTCACCTCAAAAGTAAATGGCTTGACTTTATAATCTCCTGAATTCATTTCTTTCATAAGCAGTATATGGATTTGCATTGTTGAATTGGAATGCCATCTGTTTCCTGGACGCAGATAACCTTGGTTCCTGCCCCACATGATAAGTCCAGTCATTACAGTTCAACTAGCAACCCTTGTCATTGTAAACCACTTCTTCCAACTGCAACATTCTCAATCAGGATCATAATTGGAAGACAGATAGCATTCCCCCAGGAAATTTACATATTTTAGTAGGCCCACCTCAGGTCCAAAGCTTTGAATTGCACATTGTCCAGCATATTTTAAGTGGTAGAGAAGTATGCTTATAAAACATCTTCTGTAAACTTTTATACTGAGACACACGAGTTTATTAGTAACGGAAGCTAGTTTTATTTAAATAATAACACCTTATACTGGATTACTATCTGCAAAATATATATTAATTCACATTGATTGTAACAACCCTGTGATCATTATTCACAATTTACAGTGGAGGAAATCAAGACCTTGAAAATTTAACTAATTTATTTATCAAATCTTATTGAGGATTTTCTGGGTGTTGGACAAGAGAGGCGCCAAGGATATGCCTATGAATAAAACAGACATGGATTCTGTACTCATGAGTCTTAAATGTAATAGCAGAGACAGGAAATAAGTATGTTATATTATTAAGTATGACAAATTCTGTGAAGAAAATAAGAGAGTATGATCGGAGATCACAGCAGGGTGGTTTAATTTAGATAGGAAGGTCAGGAAAGCCTTCTCTGAAAAAGAGACATTGAAACTGAAACCACAGGGGTGATTGGGAACCTGGGCAAAAAGTAAAAGGAAGCATGGACTAGGCATAGATTTAGGAAGGCTTTAGATGAGAAGGAAGTTAGCCCTTTCACGGGGGACTAGTGAGCTGGTAAACCAAGGGAAAATTGACATGAGGCAAAACTAAGTAGGAAAACAGGGGACATATTATGAGGTCACATTAATGATCTACCTGACTTGCCCACTGTCACACAAGTAGAAAATGGCCTCACTGAGAATAGAAGTTGTCTGTTGATTTTTATTCTAATTCTAGTTCTATTTCCCTTCACCTCTTTATGGTGCTTTCTTCACTGGAGAGAGAAATGAGGCGCTCACATAGGATCATAGATGTGTACAGATGAGTAGATGTTGCTATGAAAACAAACAAAGCAAACAACAAAGCAGCTCATTGCTTCATGTCTGTTACCTGAAAATGTGTTTGTTGTTTTTGTTTTCTTTTGTTTGCTGGAGGACTTAAATTGGTGGTGTGATGATGCATTAATGAATAAGCTTGTTTTCCTGACAAATTAATCATTATAGGTAGAATAGTTACTTTACATGAGCAGCTTTTTGTCATTGTTACTCTGGGCCAGATAGTTAATTTCTCTGGGGACAAGTTCCTTCCCCTGGAAGAGGAGAAGGTTGAAAGAGGTTTCTAAGAGGCCTTTATCAATTGCTCCTGGCGCTTATCTGCCAACCACAGGGGAATCAGCCTTAAGATGCAAACCTTGATGAAATCATTGAGCCTTTGTACCAATCCGTATCAAAGCTTGTTCTACCTCTTTGCTTTCTGTAATGGGAATTAAAAAGGCATTTCTGATTAAGCTGATTGAGGTGGATTTCTCTATTTACAGGTGAAAGCATTCACATGTGTATCTTTTCTATTTTAACATAGATTATCGCTATATTGTGTATGTTCTGGTGTATTCTGGACTTACTAATACAAATTTCAAAGGCATCTTTTTTGAGCACTTAGAGTGCAAAATTTTTTGCTAGGCAAAGATGAATGAGGCATATGGTCTTTTCCCTAGAGGAGCATAAGAACATAAAAGGGAATAAATGAAATACACAAATACCGGTTATCTAATGTAGAATACATATCTATTAGAACATATGTAAGGCGCCATGCCTAGTAATCCTACTTATGTCCTGTTTTCCCCTTCCATGTTTTTTGTTGTTGTTTATAATATTTAGTAAGTCAAATCCATGTCTTAATTGAACCTGCAGATGTTTTGGCAGGAAGGGTATTTCATTTGCATTGCACTGTAAAACAGTAGAATTCTGAAAGCTGTGATACTTAGTTTCTTTTTTTCTTCCTCTGCTATGCATTGTAATTCTCCTCTCTATTGTAGTGGATTGAATAGTATCTTCCAAAAATTTACATACACCCAAAGCCTCAGAATGTAACCTTATTTGGAAATAGGAATTTTGTACATATGATCAAGGTAAGGACTGAGGAGATCATACGGTATAAGGGTAGGCCTTAAATCCAATGAGAGTGTCCTTATAAGAGACAAAAAAGGAGACAGATACACAAAGAGGAAAATGCAGAGTCAGTCTCTAGAGGCAGAGATTAGAGTTATGTGTCTATAAGCAAAAGAACACCAGAAGCTGGAAGTAAGGAAGGATTCTCCCCTAGAGCTTTCATAGGGAGTGTGGCCCTGCTGGCATTCTGATTTTAGGTTTCCAGACTCCAGACCTATAAGAGAATATATTTCTGTTGTTTAATACACCAAGTTTATAGTAATGTGTTATGAAACCCTAGAAAAGGAGTACAACAACCATTCTGTTTTGTTACATGTTACAATTTGGTTTTAGCTATGCTTTGGGATATGAGAGGGCTCTATGTTCACCTTAGACAAAGTGCTTTAAGAAAGCTTGGCTTCTCACTGCTTGAATAACCACTACTAGTGAGAAATGCTCATCTATATAGAGTGTAACAGTTGCCAGAAGCAAGTTGCCAGAAGCAAGCAGGAAACAACAGGAGGGACTGAGGCATGTCTGTCTGAGGTGTGACAGGTGATTTTCTATTATATTCTTGAAATTTTGTCTATTATGTTAGGAGACTCCGGCCTTACTTAAATCTTTTATTTTAATAGGCAGTCACCCTGTTTAAATTTAGCACACAGATCCTCGCCTACTTTTGTGGGCTGTGGTTCCAATAATGACAAAATTTTCAGAGGCTTTGCAGTGTGATCTTGGTTGGCTTGGTTGATTTGGTGCCTCTGGGGTTCCCACTGGTCCCTTCTGGTACTCTCATAGGGGAAAGAGTTTGCCTTGGTGCCTCTAGGTTTGGAGAAAAGATCTGAGGCCCACAGAGTACTCTCATGGCAGCCGCTATTACGGCAGGATCCCCAATCACCAGTGTCCCCTGGCCACCCCCATATCTCTCACTGAGGGAGGGGAGTCTCATCCCTGGGATGAAGAGATTTACTTGTCCCAGCCACTTGTGTCAAAACCCCTGGCCAGTGCCACCAAGCTTCTGGGTATCTCTGGGTGGAAAAAGGGAGTCTCAGGCCTAGTGGGAAAAGAGAGAGCTTCCCTGGCCACTTATTTTCAGTAGGGTTCCCAGTGGATTCATCCTTTGTGGATGCTGCCTATTCTAATGATGTTGTCTGCTGGGCTCCATCAATCTGGGTGAGAAATGAGCCTAGCTGGGCTGTCTTCTATTGCCAGATTGAGGCTGGGATATGCCAGGCACGAGTTGTCTCCTTCAGCTGGGTGGGAGTCGTAAGGGGTCCTGCTGCTG